CCTCACTGAGCTCCACAGTGGCCAGCTCGCTAAGCCTCCGCTTCTTCGAGAGGAGCTCCTTCAGGAACTTCGCGTACTTAGGCATCAGAGATAGTGCCTCCATGAAGGGCACTTGAACATGCAGCTTCCTAAGCATGGACGAGAAGTTGCCGAACTCTGCCTCTAGCCTGTCTTTGTAAATCCTGGTGGGAAAAGGGAGCTTAGGCTTATATTCAGCCACTACTGGTTGTGGCTTTGGAGCTCGATCCTCTGGCTCCTTTTCCATCACCAGGTCTTCTTCCGGCTCTGGGGTGATCTGGGTCACCTTCTTGGCACTCCTCTGCGGTGCATCCGCAGTTACAGTCCCACTTCTCAGCATAATGGCGTGCAACCCCTCCTTATGATTTCTGGGATTCGGTAGGGGTTGGCCAGGAAGTGTGCCAGCCGGTCTGGAGGCAAGGGCATCTGCCAGGTGCCCGATCATGGTGTCCATATCCTGCAGGAGAGCCTGCTGGTTTCTCTGGCCAGCTTCAATCTCCATGAATCTGCCTGCAGCAGTTTCATGAATTGCTCCAATTTATTGAACTTTTGGGTACTAGTGCTGGCCAAGGTAGTCACTAGATCCCTCAGTTCTGACACGGGATCGCCCGATGCTGGGATTGATGGAGATGCACCAGGCTGCTGGTACTGCTGCTGTGGGGGCTGTTGCAAAGCCTGCCTTGTCTAGGCTGATAAAATGGTTGTTGTTGCTGCATATGGCCCGGGCGAGGCTGGTATGGCTACCTCTGGTTCGGAAAACTAGCTGCAGGAGCTTGGAAGCCAAGTGGCTTCAGATTGCTGATGCCACTCCAGGAGAAATTTGGATGCTGGCGCCATCCCTCATTATAAGTGTTACTGTATGGGTCGTTGCGCCAGACATTGTTGATGAAGTTCACCTGCTCCTGGGTGTACTGGACTCACGCATTGCCTGGCAGTCCTCTACACTATGATGGGTGCTCTCGCACCACTGGAAACGCATTTCCGGCTGCTGCCCTTTCCCCGGAACCATCCCATTCCGATCAATGGCTGAGACCAGTTTAGACACAACCTGCACCAAATCAGAAGAGTGGGTGCCCACACCATGTACACCTCGGCTTGGTGCTCTCCTCGACCTCCTAGCAGTGCCCCAATCATACCCTTTCTCTTCCATCTCCTCAAAGAGTTGATTCAGCTGTGGCGGTGTTTTGGTTAGCATGTTACCGCCACAAACCGAGTTAATCAGCTGCTTGTCTTCTGGGAAGAGGGCGTGGTAGAAAGTGTCCACCTTGAAGGCATCATTGAAACCATGATTGGGACACCTCAGGAAGAGACGGGTGTATCTCTCCCATGCATCCCGGATGGTCTCATCTTCATCCTGGGCATAGTGGGTGATCTGCTTCATCCCAGCTCCAAAACCACTCTTAGGGGGTGTTCTTCGCACTTTCTCTCTCTAGGGCTCTGTTTTTGCACCAAAAAGTCGATTCCCCTTCAAAAGACTCGAAATTGGGTTAAAAACCAGTTCTGCCCGACCACACGGCCGTGTGAAACCCCCAGCTACCCGTGTGGAAGTGCAAAACGTCGCGTTTCACTTAAGCGGCTTCAGTTACGCTACACGGCCAAAACCACACGGCCGTGTGGAATTTTAGGCGTGCCCGTGTGAGCTCCCTGGACTTTCCACACAGACACAAGGGGTCCCATACACGGCCAGTGCGATTTGCCCGTGCAAAGTGGTGCCACACGGCCGTTTGGAATTTTAGGCATGCCCGTGTGGAATTTCCAGCTTTTCGACAAACGTCTCAACTTCGTCCAATCGACCCCGAACTCATGCCCAAACCTTCTTTCACGTACTAGGACCTGAAATATCACAACCAAGAACAACCTAGCATGAAATCGGCCTAAAACACGAGAGTTGAGACTCAAACGGTACATGAATGGTGGACAAAAACATGTGTAAATATCGAGTCATCAACAAGCCTGGTTCCAGTAACAGAGTTCTTTTAGTCCCAAGCCTCCCTCTTTCTTAGGGCGAGCCATTTTGTCCCATCCAATTCTAGCGCTTCCCTCTTCTTCCCCACGCCACAAGAAACATGAGCTGATATTTTGGACCTGCTTCAACACCTTTTTAGGGAGCATAAATACTTGCATCCAGAATTGCAAGACCCCCATCAACACAAAAAAGACCAATTGAAGATGACCAACATAACTAAGCCACTTGGCCCTCCATGATTTTATCTTTTGAGTAATCTTTGCCACTAACTTCTCACATTCCAAAGAAGATAGCTTACCAAATATCAATGGCAGGACCTAAATACCTCATTGGAAGCACCCCCTCCTGAAACCCAGAAATCTGGAGTGCCTTCTTAAACTGAACTGACATCCCACCAAAAAACTTCACACTTGGCAGGATTGCATTTCAGACCAAACAGAGAATAGAAATCTGAGAGAGTCTCCTGTACCCTAGAGATAGGAGTCCCAGACCCTTCTGTGAAGATAAGAAGATTATCAGCAAAGCTCAGGTGAGTAAGTTTAACCTTTTTGCACTGTGGATGATAAGGTAATCTCCCAATATTAGCAGATTTATTTAATAATAACGAAAGTACTTCCATAGAAATAGTAAATAGGTAGGGTGAAAGAGGGTCACCCTGCCTAACCCCCTTTTGTGCTCCAAAATAGCCACAGAGACCACTATTAATGCTAATACTAAACTTAGCTGTCTTGACTGTCAACTTAATCCAGTTGAGAAAGCAAACTAGAAACCCCATAACCTCCATCATCATAAACAAATATGTCAAATTAACCGAATCAAAAGCTATCATAAGATCTACTTTGATAGTACAACGAGAAGACAATTGTTTTCTGTGATAACCAGTAACTAACTCCTGAGCCATTAAAATATTGTCTACTATTCTACTCCCCTCAGTGAAGGCTGACTGGTTACCACTAATGATCTTAGGGAGTACCCTCTTCAAACGATTAGCCAACACCTTAGCAATTATCTTATACAAGTTGTTAATGCAAGAAATTGGCCTAAAATCTTTAAGAACATATGCTGAAGGAACTTTAGGTAAAAGAGAGACAACATTGGCATTGACACTTCCGGTAACCTTCCAGAGGATAAGAAATCCAATACTCCTACAAGAATATCAGCACGAATAATTGGGCATACTTTATTTTTCACTACGCATATTTATAAAGAAATGTAGCTCAAGGATAGTACTACTCAGGGGCGGAGCTACGTTGGTGTTTGGGGGGGCCTCCCCCCCCCCCCCCCCCCCCGGAGAATTTTGAAAATCGCGTATAATTACAACGATAATTTTGAAATTACGTATTAATTAATTACGTTATTTGTATAGATTTCGCTATTGTGCAATAAATTTAAGTATGTTTCCATTTAGTCTAGCGGAAAAGTGGTTGTTTTTTAAAACAGTGGACGTGGGTTCAATACATCACAGCAGCACATTTTAATGTTTTTGGGCTTTACACTTCTTTTTTTTTCCGATGTCTTAAGTAAATCAAATTCATCAACTTCTGCATTATAGCTCTAAATGTAATTTTGGATTTTGTCTTGTTATAATAACATTGAGGAAAATGGTACAAATAAAAAAATAATGATTATTTTTTGTTGACAATTTAATTAATAATGTTTAACATATCGTTGCCCAATTGTTAATTCAAATCATAGTTTTAGTGCTAATAATTTGTAATGTAACATTTATATTATTCTTTTAATTTTACGATAATACGTACTAAAAAAATTCGGCCCCCGAACTTTAAATCCTAGCTCCGCCCCTGGTACTACTATTAATAAAATAGGCTACAAAGATGGGACAATAATCAACAATATAATGCGTTGTCTTTTTTTGTTGGTTTTTCTTTACCTCCCTGATTCTCTTGTCAACTTTAATTAAGGGTCAGCCGGCCATTTGCTGCGGTTTGTGGGTTGTTAACATGAGTTAGTCATTGTTACTTGTTAGTGAATAGTAACTGGCGTTCATCTTTATATATAATAACTAGTGTAACATCCCGTCTCGGATAAACCTATATTTCGATTGCTAAAAATTACGCAATTTAAATCGAGATTTTGATAGTATTTTGGCGAAAATCGGATTATCGATCGATCAGATAAGTATACATATTAATTATATATATAATATATTATATATTGAAAGAAGAAATCCCACCGCAGGACCTGGTACTGCACACGCAGACTGCTTTTACTGTTCATACTGACCGAGATGTACTGTTATAACCCGGAAGCTGGCGCTGTGTGGGCTGGCGTTGGGTGGGGGCTCATTGGAATCGGACGGGTGTTTGGCGGGTCGGTTGGGATGGAACTTGGTTGTTGGGCTGTTTTGGTCTGCTGGATCGGTTGTGGTCCACGAACGCGTTGGTCGCCAGGGCCCTCTCGGTGGCTGGAGCCTGCCCAGTTGCTTGATTGGATGGATTTCAGGCAGCCGGTCTATTTTCCTTGGCAGCTGTGTCAGGGCCTTTGCAAGCGATCGACGTATCCGTGGGTGGGAGACTCGGAGATGGTGGGCCATAGGGGGACTGGAAGGGTTTATTGAAAGGAGATGTGCTGCTCAGTGGCTCTGCAAGTGGCTTAGGGCAGGGTCAGAGTATTTCAGGTGTGGAGCGTTTAAGAGGTGGGAGTCGTGCCGGTTTCAGAGGCTGAGAGAGAAGAGAGGTATGGGAGAAGAGAGGTATGTCTTGATGATGTAGACTGGGCATACTTTCTGAAACTGGAAAGGTAATTGAGGGGACTAATCAGAGAAGCAGAGAAAGAAACAAAAAATATATGAGGGGATAGAAGTTTGGTCAGGGAAGCAGAAAAATGAGATTGACGGTTGGCAGAGATATTTCGTTCGTTTGTTGGGTGTGGTTAACCTAATATACCCGTGGTGCTATATTCTCTCTCATCGAGGTCAGAGAAGCACTCTTCTCCTGAAATATATCTTCCTCTTTCTTTGCATTCGTTTTCTCTTCCTTTTCTTGATTGGGTTCGTTCTCTCTCTTTCTATCTAAAAAATGGGGTTTCTTTGATCCTTTTTTCCAGGTTTCTTCATCGCCGCTCTCAGGAACAGAAAGATCCGAGCTCTGCATCAGAGTTGATTCATCCTTCAACTGTGAATCTCCTATGGATGCTTTGTATTTCGTTTGTTTCAGTCGATCGATCGGAGTTCCCTGATTTCATTTGTTCCGTTGTTTTGAGCTATCAAGAAAGGGATTTGAGTGTCCTGGAGTGGATTTGGAGCTATTTGGAAGAGGGAGGGAGGATTCGAAGAACACCCAGAACCACAGGTTCTATACTGATTTCATGTGATTGTTCCTTTGTCTCTCAAAATTTTATTTCTGTCGTAATGGTTTATATTGATCATCTTTTATTTTCTCTCTACTTTTGGCTCTCTTCTCATTTTCGAAACCAGTAGAGCTTGGAGCAATCAACTGGCAAATTTGAGAGGGTCGGAGAGGAATTGGAAGAGACTCAGATCCCCAAAATATGTTTTTTGTGTTTTCCTAATTGAGATTTATGTTACTCTTTCATCACTTTAAATTTTAATGCACTTTCTCTTGCTTGAACTCTCTCGCCATTTTCGATCTCAAATCCTCTCATTCATCCCCAATCTTCTGAATCTTTTATCTTCATCCCTTCTCTCTCCTTCACTCCTCTCCCTTCTCTCCACCTACGCCTTCCTCAACCTGTCCTCGATCTCATCTCAAATGGATTTCTGGCCAAAATGTTTCTTCCTCAGAAATATATCTCATTAATTGGTTTCTTTCTTTTCTTCTCACCTTCAAAAGATTGGTTGGAGCAAGAAGGGAGTGAGCCCTGCGTTGTACACGGTGGGAAACTGAACAACGGATTCAAGCGGCCACCTAGGAATGGCCGAGAATCCATCTCTGACGTGGAGAGAATGCGGAGAAGACCTAGAATCGCCAGATCTGTTGCACCTATTCCTTTGTTGGTCGGGGTTGGACAATACCCACGACCCGGGAAGACAAAGTCCAAGACAAAGGGAAACCAGATTTGCGAACCATGCCGTTGAAAGGTGAGGTTTTGCTTTATCTTTTTTCTGTGGTGCTTAGCTTTTTTCAGCTTTGTAATTCTTTTTCTTCTCTTTGTAATTCTTTTGCAGACGACCAGTTCTTGACAGAGATTTTGTTGGTCGGGGGTGGATTACTTAGGTTTGAAGGGCAATCCGAAAATGGATTCCGGGTGAGATTTCTCGCTATCTCTCATCCATCGCTGTTGAGTACCTCTATATCTTACTCTGGTTCTTCTCTGTTTTCCTTTTTCGGCGGTGTTTATGAAGCAATCTCCTCATTGTTAGGCGGTCAATTAAGCCAGTAAGGTCGCCTTTGCTGGAGCAAGAAGTAATTGGTTCTAAGATGAGTGGAACCTTTGGTTGGTCAAGATGAGTGGAACCCTTGGTTGGTCAATGGATTTTAAGGGTACAGAGAGGGCTGCAAGAAGATGCAGATCAACGTATTGTCGTTTTGCATTTGGTAATTGTTTCTTTAATGGTTGAGTTTGTCTTGCCTTCATGAATCTCATCTTTTCTTTGCTATTGACGAACACAATTTGACTTCAACTCTGTCATTTTTTCAGCTGTATTCTTAGACTACAACGAAGGTGGTTGGGTGTTTGGAACAAGGAATGAACACATGTGTACGCTGGATTATCCCATGGTGATGGATTTTTAATCTTGCCATCCGCTTTTTTGTATTGTCTTTGGCCCATTGCGGTTGCAGTAGGTTGCATTCGGGTTTCGGGTAATGATATTCTTCTTTTGTGTTGTTTGTGCGCTTTCCCTGCTCTTAATGTTGAGCATAGTGTTCGTTTGTGGATTAGGAGATGATGTTATTCGTCTGTCAGTTTGGCTGATAGTGTCTTTTTTCCCATTGATGCACCGACGAGAAAATTTGGTCTCATGCTGTGGCCTTTCATAGGATTATATGACAACAAATTTTTGTTGTATAGTTGTTGGCTGCAGAATGATCAAATCCTAGATAGAAAATCATGAATCTAAGCATAGATGAAAATGCATATGAAGTAGCAGAGAATCTCAGGAAAAATGCAGACTACCTAGCGAGAATTAACAAACCTCTCAAGCTTTGCCAATTGATACCTTCTCAAATTATTATCTGCTTCACCTTTCTTTCTTACCGAAGTCGTTCAGGTGATATGTTGTATGTTGTGTAGCTGTTCTGATTGTTTATTTGGCGATTGTGTATGTAGTGAATGAGTTCATTGAAGCTGGTTGTGGTGTGACCATAAACTAAATTCAGATGATACTTTACCTGGAAATGAGGAATTAGAATTTGCTGCTGGAGTTGGAGAGCAATCTCAGTCGGCCATGCAATGTTGAAGGATGAGCCTTACAAGAGGTTATTTGATTTGGGAGCGTTCACTGTAATGGCCTTTTGTTATTACAATGATTCAGTTTGTTGTTTTTTTTATTTGTGTCCGATTGATTTTTCTATAGTATATTGGTGATAAGCTTTACCTGGTTTTTCGAGTTTATTATGTATAATTGGTCAATTATTGAGAACTTGGGCCTTGCTTTCCTGTGCAGTTGCAATTTGTCAATGCGTTGCTTTATATCTTCTATAATTTTATGGATTAATAACTAATTAGGATCTGAGAAAATGAACTAAAGAATGTCATAGATAATTATATGGAGGAGCTATACTAGAGTTGGAAGTCAAAATGAAGTCCTAAAAGTTTAGGGGATTAAACATAGTCTAGGAACAGTAGTAGAGGTTATGTAATTAATGTAAAAAACCGTGATTAGTGGTTGCCATGATCCTTACTTAACTTAATGTGGTAATAGTTAGTCGTGGCTCCTTGGATGTTGTATGGAGATTTGCTAACAAGTCTGCAGAGTAAGATAAGGATGGAGTCGTACCTCTTTTATTCCTGGAGAAAGTATGTTGGATAAGTATGTTGGATATGAGTAGTGTAGTATTCTAAGTATAAATGAGATAAAATCCGAGGATTGCATGTAGATAATTGTAAACAAACCACAAAAGTCTAGCTCCATGACTTGTCAGTTTTTTATATCCCTGTCTTCTTTGTGTTCTCAGGTCGTGCTGCTGATACAAAATGGATCCAAATCTTGAATAACCCGTAACAAACCACTTTGAACAAAGATCGGATTGTGAGATGAATTCATGAATACGCAATGGTACTGGTCCGCTGGATGCACTATACGCAGCCCAACAAAGAAACAAAAAGACAGACATTTTTACCCGTGCAAGCCGCGATAAAGAGCGGTGACTCAAATGTAAAACAGTTGGAGTGTAGGCCCAAACAACAAAGCCCAACGTCCATTCGTTTTATGACACCGTCACGGACAGTTTGGCATTTCGAATCCCTGAACTGTCGCAAGGCTTCCGAAGAAACCAACCTCTGCGCCCTCGATCGCAAACCGCCGCGAAAGCCCCATACTTGGACCGCAGGAAATTCCTGCCACAAAGGTGGGTCCTCGACTACTTCTAAATCGCCATTCTTACAGTTCCTACAATTATTGCTCATCGGTTTCTTCGTTGGGAAATCAGAAACCACACTTGAAATGGCCACGTCGCGGCAAGATCGGGAACGTGCACGATGCGATGCCATGGTCCCCACTGATCTTCAGGGTGAGTGCAGTCAGTTTTGGGTCGTTGGTCCTGTGAACATTATCGATTCCAATACGACCGCCCACTAAAAAAGGCTGGCCGCTTTGCTAAATCACAAAATCTTGAACTGTGTTACAGATCCTGTTACATCTTCCGACACCTTTCGAGGTTTACGTTTGGGTTGCAACCATCGTACTGTGGTCGCACGGCTTGTCAGGTTATGGTTTCAATTCAGGAGAGGTAACATGAGGAGGAAGAGAACCATGCACATGCTTTGGCTGGACAAAAAGGTTGTTGATTAAACACCAGACATCTTTGCAAGATCTCACCATTCTGCATTTTTCATTATAACAAATTTGTGCATGGTGATTTCAGCACTTAGATTACAAAGAATCTAAACAATTTCTCACATGCCAAAGGAGTGTTTCAATGATCGGCTGCTTTCTTACAGGACCAATTGATCGAGGGAATGGTTGAGGAGGAGGACATCAGGGAAATTTCCACAAAATCAAAGTCAACAAGCTCCATCGACTGGATACAGTTGTTGCTGTCCCTGCAAGAGGAACGGGTCGGATTGTTCATAGATAATTACGCTTATTGCTGACATCCAGACAGCAAATTTCATACATTCACGAGAACCCCGAGAATCCCCAGTTTCCCGTTCGCTCATACATAAACTCTGACTTTTCAGTGGCGCCAAGGCAGACAGATAGCTACGACTGCCATTCAGGTTCGCTTTCATTTGTTTATCTCATTACAATATCCTAATAAATGTTTTTGTGCCTTAACTCAATTTTATGATTTAGACATCACGGGATGCGTTAGGCGCCTCACAGTCCCAAGAACAATTGATGGAACCTTGAAAGAGTTCCTTTTGGTCATCGCGGATGCGTGGTATGTTTTCAAGAATTAATAACCATTATTTCCTTTATGAAAATTGACAGAATAACATATTTGTTATTACAAACAGTGGAGCAAAGGCCGTGGTTCGTTACCGTGGCTATGACATAGATGACTATTTAAAGGATGCACCAACTGCTGAAGCTCGCTTGCCTCTTATCACAACTGTTAAGTTAGCAATGCGAGTGCCTCCTTCAAATGGCCATAAATATGCAATCGAATTTGAATCCACGCCTGCCAGTAGACTGGTTATACGAACATACGAAGATGCCTTCAAGGACACCATGCACATGTACATTGCTTCCAATATTACCTGCACATTAGTTGACCAACAAATATTGCATCACCAATGAGTCAACGCTAACACAATTTGTTTGTCCTCCAATATAGTTTCCTAAGGAAGCGAAAACCAGTTCCTTACGTCAGATTGGACACTGGGGAGAAGCTAGGTTGGCTGCGAGCACCAAGACCTGAAAAGAAGACACTTGGTGAGATTAAGGCAGGCCTTGGTTCTACAGCAAGCGGCAACAAGGTAGTCCCCTGCTGATTCTTTACACCCCGTGCACATCCACCGATTTCTATACTTAGCACACTGACATCAATAAAAAAAATTCGTTTGATTTCAGATCCTCTACGCCTGCAAGTTTGTTTTCATGCAGGTTATCTACAGAGAATCCATCTGCAGATCGACTCCAAAAATACCGGGGTAAGTTTTAATGATACCTGTGTCGTTTTTTCCCTAACTAATACATATATTAGCTACAAACCTGACGTTAACTCTTTGATACAAGCTTGCGCTATCAACTGGAAGCAAGATGCCGCGACGGTTCAGAGGAAGCTGACGTCGTGCTGGAACACGAGGCAGTTCTGTCATTGCCCTGATCTGAAGTGCCCAAATTCACATTCCGCGCCACACATTCGAATTCCCACGCTGTGGAACGAATCAGCCTTTGACAACTGATTCAGCATGCTTTGCCCAGTCCATTCACATGCTAGCTGTCAAATTCTGCAGGGAATGTCAAACAATTTATGCTTGTGTGTTTTTGCAATATGAGAACTTGCTATTAGGTTATCTTCTGTACTGTACATGCCGTTCCCTGAACATGAGCCACATATTTTGTAGATCTTTGTTGGTCTGGCTATTTCGTAGCAACAACTGCCACCTGACTTAATCAGGTAGTTCAGTCGGCCTGAATCTATTGTAAATGTTGAAGACATATTTTGGGAATTACTTTTGCATATGTATCGTTATGTCATTGCCACAATAGTAATCAGTTAGCCAATTGGTCCCTAATATGGACTATGATTCAAGAATTGTTTGAATATTAGAAGTGATGACAACAATTTCCTTGCATACTACCACCGTTTCCCATATGTGATCTTTAACATTATGATTATTGAAGCAGGAACTGGCTATTGTTACGTATTTATTCTTATTTTTTCATATCATCGAATCTAATGTTTTTTGCAAATGCTTAGAAATAGCATTGCTTTGTATGCCTCCCGTTTATCAAGAATTATAGAGATCATTTGTGGTTTCAATTCTCCATCAGCAACGATATCTAATGCTGTAATATACAAAATTGATGTTGGAAAGACCACACCTAAAAAATACAACCCGACTCTTCCATCTGGGCCTTTAGCCCAGAACTTATGCCTGATCTTATACCCTTTCTTTCCTCTTTTCCTTTCGTTTCGTCTACCTACCAACCAGTTTTTTTTTGTGTGCCTGCTTCCTCTATTACCCGAACCTTCTGTTTGGCTAACCAGAAAAATAACGCTACTGCTGTTCCACCTTTCTTATTCTTCCTCTCACTTAACCTTCTTCCTCTATTTCCTCATAGGAAGGCGATGTCTACTCCTAAGCTACTTCTCGATCTTAATGGAACTGATGACCTAGAAACTATTTTGAAATTATGGCTCCTACATGTTTGGGTATTTGACGACCTAGAAAAACCATATTGCAGTCTCTGGACCGATGCAAAGGTAACAATCTACTTGCTTTCAGTTTTCCTATTTTCTAATAACATTTATGATCATGAGTCATCTCTGTTGCTTCGCTTGCTTCCTACTTTGACAGGGAACATTGATTCAAGCTGTCGCCTCATCAAATTTAGCTGCCCATTTTGGCATAATCCTGCAACTAGGCTGTGTATATTTAGTTGCTAGATTCCATCTACAACAAACACAAACGATGTGCCATCCTTGCTCCCATACATTGAATTTGGTTCTTTCTCAAGAAACCAGATTTAACAATGTGACCATGATGTCGCCTATTTTTTGTGCTAATTCGTTTGAGTTTGTTGCCTTCAACTCCCTGTACTCCTTATCTCACTCAGCAAACCAGCTAATAGGTTTACCTACCAAACTACTTTAAGCTCATGAGCTCCGCTTCAATTTGACCATTACAGTTGGCAAGCTGACTATGTTTGCCAACCTCTTCAAATGTAGATGTTGTCGACAATGTTGTGTCCGTAGCTGGTCTGTCATGCTCAGTAACCTCTGCTCATGCTATTATTAGGCGCAAGCTGGTCATACAAAACGAGAGGTTTTCGATGCATTACAATTATCTGCTTTTCCAGTCCTTCATTTGTTATCTTTTATTTCCTCTTTTTTCATTGTCTTTGTTTCGCTGTACTTTTGCAGGCATGTACGCCTTAATATCACCATCTGTGGTGATGTTGCACGATCTCTAGATGGGGAAGAACTAGCATACCTTGGCCGTTCTGGTTCTGTTGTGCTAGGTGTATGTAGTCTTCAATTAAGTGATGTAACAACAGGTTAGATCGCAGTTTTCGATCTGACAACTAATGTTTCCCTCATCTACATTATCATGTATTAATACTTACTTTTTCACTGTTTTTCCAAGACGCCGTATTTTTGACCAGCACCCCTGCCACACGCTTTGTGCTGGAACCAGCTTGTGATTTGGCAAATCTTTTGCGCTCTGCGTAAGTAACTTCCAATGAAGCTTTTCAACAATTTACTTTTCTTTATCTAATATTTTACCCAATGCATAGCTCTCTTGGTGGAAATGATACAATTCAATACTATCCTCCGTGGTTCTCGACCTCTTTTGAAGAACACCTATTCCAAGCTGACAGTACAAAAACAATTATGGACCTGATCCACCTTTGCAACCCATCAATGGTTGATGTACGTGCTACTTACACCAACCTTACTCTGCCAGCACTGCATTTCATGCATGCATACTGAGATCAAGCGTAACATGCTAATTTATAAAACCTAACCTATTTGTTTGTCTGGTTGCTTTTAGTTGGCCAATTGATGCAACCGTTTGTGTAATTCTATTTTTCCTGAACCAACAAAGTGCTTCCCTACCTAACTTACTTTGCTTGTCTGCTTTATTTACTTATAGGCTACACATTACCATTGCTTAGCACAGGTCCTCTCCGCTCAGTCTTCCCGACCATGGTTTTATCTAGGATGTGCATTTTGCTCAAAAACAGCTAGAGAATTTCCTGGTACTGCTGATTTTTGGTGTGATGAGCATGGGCAATTGATGGGTCAAGAAACCCAGAAATGGTTTGTCTAACACAAAACTATTTCTTCATTGCAACTTCCACAATTAGCTAACCCTGAAATTCTTATACATTTTATCAGCTACAAAATCCATTTGGCAGTGGGAGACACTACAGGTTCTGCATGCTTTATCATGCTTGGAAAGACCGCTGAGTCTTTACTTGGAGTTCCTACTAACGAACTGTCGGCGCGTAACCCTCAACAGCATGGGCATTGCCCTCCAGAAATTGTTGCCATGAATGGACGTTGGTTTTCATTTGACGTTCAACTCCCTAAACCTGGCTATTTACCTCAAACCCCTTTGGAGTTCACCATCCTTTCTGTGGCCAACCTCAACCAACCTCACCAGTAGTCCAAGCCAATATCAACATGCACATGAATCACCCAATCAACAACATCAATTGAAGTTTAGCGTTCTTCTTGCTGATCACATGGTGTATGCAAGTGCATCAATGGGTTTTATTGAATAAATCTCTTTCTCCAGATTTGCGGCAACAAGATGTGTGCTTGGAAGATCTGCAGCGTACCCAAAGCTACTGATTTTGGCATAGATCAGGAACACTTTTGTCAAGAACAGAGAGTATATGTTCCTTAGTGTTTTATATTGGTTGGCTGTGTAAGTTATTAATAGGTAAGAAAAAAGTTCCCTAGTGAATCAAGTATTCGATTTTCCACACAATGGTTCCAACCAAATTTGTAAGTTGAAGAAAATCAATTTTGTAAATCTGTAAAGAAAAGCCTCGATCTGTTGTGTTCGAACATGAAGCAGTCCTCTCACTAATTCATGTGTCGCCCGCAAAATTTCGTTACATGAAAAAAGAAGAAGTTGTGGCACTTATTAAGAGTAGTTGTGTCTAGACATTTGCAGCAGAGTTGTACATTGCCTGGCCAGATTTGAGCAACAGTGCTTCCAGAGCTGCCAGACAGATAAGAGTTGCCACACTCTGGGACCGAACTGCCTTCGACAAATGATCATGCTCTCTTATCCATAACATTGTTTGATCAAGAAATCGTTAACCATATTTTATTTCTTGGTCAAACTTCCCAGCTCCCTGAATTTCATGTCCCCCACGCATCATCGGACAGTTGATTATATGTATGCATGCTCGCAACTATCAGACACTTTTGCAGATTCAGGTTTAGGGAGTTTATTTTGTGGGCCATATGGTCCTTATGGAAATCTGGGCATAATGTTTAGTGTTCCATTGATGGATCCTTAGGTTTTATTGAGATAGCAAGTTTTAGTACCCGTGTGTTTGCATAGTGCAAAATTGCATGTTGATCTGTGCATTTTACGTGACTCCAAATCAAACTGACGAGTGCATAAAGAAGAGGTTTACAATCCAATATAATTTTTTTACAAAATACACAATACGAGTCTTGCATCCGATGATGCACAAATGGTAGGATCTAAGTGACGAAAATTGCGCAATTTCAGCATTTCCCGCCGCGAAGCGCGCGCTTATTACTAGTATTTATATAAACAAACAAAAGAAGCTAAGCGGCCGAACCACTTTAATATTTATATATGTAAAGCTAATGCCTGTCCATTTCCATCTTCTTCCATTTTTTATTTCCCGTCGAGAGAAACAGAGCGGCGCACAGAGAGGTTAACGGAAACCTCGACCAGATTCTAGGGTTTTGTACGGCGAAAACCCCCATAAGTAATGCATAATCCATCCATTCATCGTAGTTTATCGATTTAGAGTTTTAAAACGAGTTTTTGGTTAAGTAATTTCTTGAATTCCCGATAAGCCAAATTAGGATTTCGGAGTATCCGGAAGTCGGATTGAGCCCAGATTTCATATACGAGCTTCCTATAGCGAGGTAATTAATCCTCTGGTTCTAATCCATGAATTTTGGCTATTATTTAGGTCGGAGCCAGAATCGCTGAATTTAGCTCCG